ATGAAAAATTATAAAATTGAAATTTGTTGAATTTGTAATTGAGTTAAAATAAAAATATGGTTGGAAATATGTGCGGTACAATTTGGAAAAATGTTGGGTACAAATTTCAATCTCGCATATCAATTCTATCCGAAAAGTAAATTTATGAAAAATTTAGAACTGCATTTATTGGATTTAAAAATTTAAGTGAGTATTGTTCAAAAATTTCTCATAAAATCAGAATTGTCAGAATAAATTTAAAAATAATAACAACTTCTTGCAGAAAATGTTTCCATTAAAAAGCTTCTTACATATTTTTTTTATATGTATGTATAAATAAATAGAAAAATATGGAAGAATTTTAAAAACTTTTTTGAAAAAAAAACCAAGAAAATAATATTAACATAAAGCATTTCCTCTATTTTTAACGACCGTATTGTGTAAACAATAGGTAGGTTATGTGATGGCAACAAATTTTGCATATCGAGTTTTCGGTGGGAACGTACTTCTCCATAGTAGGGAAGTGTAAGTAAACTATTTTTAGCAACCTGTCGGTCCGTCAGTCTGTCGGTCTGTCGGTCTGTCGGTCTCTGTGTGCACGCGTGTATCTCAAGTCCTGCTGAACCAATTTTGATGAAATTTTATATGTAAGTTTATTTCCACCATGACACGGATCGATCAACTTTTGGTATATATCAGGCCTCGGGAATTGCACTTTTTAGCGGGCCTGTTTTACATTTTTGAACATTTTGAAGAAAGTATTCAACCGATTTACTCGAAATTTTATATATAAGCTCATCTCGACCGTCCGCAAAACCTCCTAACCTTCCTTTTGGAAGAAATCAGGCATCAGCAACTGGACGTTTACTACGGGCCAAATATACATTTTTGCGTATATAAAGAGAAATAATGAACCGATTTCATTGAAATTTAATATATGAATACCTCGTATTAAAACAATGAACATATAAATTTTTTGGAAAGATCAGGGCTCAAAAACTGATCGAATTGATGCGGAACGAATTGATGGAATTTCTTGAAATTTGAGTTCTGGTTGTTACCGAAACTGGCGAGCATTTCTGGGAATTCGGGTGGCACAAAGCGAAACCCTACTAAGAGCCAAATTTACATTTTTCTAGGTATGTTGACTATAAGCTTACTAATGTCCTAAAAATTGGAAAGAAGTACTTAACAGACATTTTTATAATATTCTGTAACACTTTCACTTAACTAGACAATATACAATGCGATCGGTTATGTCCTGACCACATCAGATTTTTTTCATTGTGTTTAAAAAACAGCGGGGGCAAAAAACTACAATAAGTAAAATTGCATCGCAAATACAATAAGAAAAATTTTTTAATATTTCTTGAAACTTCTCGGGATCTTTTATAAAACGCATTCAAAAAAAATTTTTTCTTCCTTCAAATTCATTTTATTAACTGAATTATTACTTTACTTAAAATGAAATTTCTATTCATTATACAATGCCGCCGCGACTATTCATAACAATGACAATTACAATTTGATGTCTTTTGAAATTTTTTTTTTTATTATGATTACTATGCGAAGAGTGCCTCTTAAGGAGTCTTCAATTCTTATTGTATAATTTAAAGTTACAATGGATTTTATTATTATTTTTTTTTTCCAAATTTCAATTTTTAAGCCTTCTTTATGTTGTTGAAGATGCTGTGAAAATCATTATTATTATGTTCTGAGTTCTCTCGTTTTTGAGATTTTTGAAGGAAAGGACAATCATTTGAAAATAAGTGAATGTAAAATTTTTCTCTTTTATCAAGTATTAAGCAAATAGTTGATAGTCAGGATAGTTGATAGTTTCGTAAATAGTCAGGAATAGTGCCTATGAGTTGTTGAAATAGAAAAAGAAAAATATAAACCAAAATGAGAGAGTGTAATGTTCAGATGATTATCTAAAAATTATTATAAGAAAATCGGATGCCTCTATAGAATGTAAAGGTGTAAGTAATTGAGTAGAGTGATTTTAAAATGATTCCTTTATCTTGAGCTTTTAAAATCTTGAAAACAATATTCTGCAGAAACTGGAGTATAAGATAATATTTAAAAATAGGTGTTCAATGTTACTTGGTTTACATATAATCTTAGTTTGCTCAATGATGGCTCATTTGTATTAATTGGAGTGTTGGTAATCTGCTGCACCGGCCACATCAACCAATCAACCCACCAGTCCTATTTTTTGAATATATAGAAAATTATGGCTGCTTTGATTTACAATTGAATTGCCGCCCGAGCTGGAAGTTAATATTTTCGTTTTGTAAAAAATTTCACTTGTAGCTCTCCGTTTCAGGGCAGTACAATGGCAATAGTAAAATTGAGTATTATGATTTAAAAATATTTGTGCTCTTGTTCTCTTGAAATCGAAACAAGTATCGAAAATCTTAGAAATTTTTCGTTTCAATTCAATCGTCTCAGTTTGAGCACGCAGATTCATTAAAGTATTAAAATGTTTTTTTTTGGAAAAAGAAAACTTTATTACTCACTTAACATATTTTTAATGCATTCTGAATTTATGGTGTTGTTAACATTATTATATAATATTGTTAAGCCTATAACAACTTTATGCAATTAAAAACACTCTCTCTCTTCCAATGTTTTCGAAAACTTTTAAAGATAAAATAATTCCTCTTACTTTTTCATAATAATTCTTTTATACTTTTTTCCTTCCAGAAAAAATAATAATTGTAAAAAACAACATTGTTTTTTTTTTTTAAATATTTTGCATTTTTTCGTGTCCTGCCAGGATGTTGGGGAAATAGTTAGTTTCTGTTTTTTTTTAACGGAACATGGGGTTAAAAACTTTAACTTTACTTTAAAATTTTCAAAAAATAACAAAAGAAGCAAGAGAAATAGCAATAAATTTTCTTAAAAATAAGTTATTTTAAAGTTGTACATAAGGTCAACCAATTCTTTAATTTTTAATAAATTGACAGGGTCTGATCAAATCTTCGGATCATTAAAAAATTTCAATTTCAAAAGTTTCCAATCATATAACAGCTAATTGTTAATTATTTCCCAGTAATTGTCTGCGTCATAAAGTGCAACAACATTGTTTTTATTAAAAAAGCACAACAAAAATTTCAATCTCCAGCTCGGGCGGCAGTTCATATAGACCACTACAAATGAAACTTTTCATATCCTCAAATTACTGTTGGTTGAGTTTATTTTATTTGTTTTTCTGGAAAGATAAGAGAACGGAAAACATTATACAAAGCATATACGATATTCTGCTATTGGAATGTACTTTCGTGCCTTCCAGCTTCTTTTATAAGGGTTTCGGGATGACGGTGCCATATTCAGTAATTTATTTAACAAATATGTTCTGTTTTATTTAGCAAATATCGAAACCATCATCTGTATTCGAAACTTATTCTTAAAATATTTTATTTATAAATCGAAACTCAAAAATTTTCATGCTCACTTAACATTTTCGAGCCTCAATATTCTTCATCATCCTGTATACATAAAAAATATTAAGAGAATAATAAACTTGTGAAAATTGTTGTAAGTTTTGACAAAGGGAAAAAACTGGCTTTTATTGCATTACAATTATACAATTTACGAAGACTTCTTCTTTCCCGTAAAATTTATTCAAAAAACTCTTTTCGAAATAAAAGAAATGAAATGCGGATTCAATGTGTCCAGAATATTTCTCTTTTTGAAATATTATTTTGTAGAATATTTAAATAAAAAGTTGGTTTCTATTTTAAATTACCATGTTGTTTATTTTGAGTAATGGCATGTAATTATATGAAAATTATTTTGTTTTTCTTGAAAATTATACACAAAATTACAAAATCTCAATACAATTTTAAGAATAGTTTCTGTTTTGAATTATTTTTTTGACTAGAATACCAATGCTTTTTTCATTGACGTTTTTATCCATATTTACCCATATACTCGTACCCATATTTTGTATAATTTGGGAGATTGTAAACGTAGAGGTTCTTATTTCTTTTATAATGTTTATTGAGTCGTTGACCCCCGGGTAGGTGCAATTCAAAGTGCATTACCATTTTATGTTTCATTTATAGAGATTTATCAGGTATTCGGTTGTAGTAAGGAATACAATTTTTGCTCTGTCGGTATTTCTTATATTTCATTTTGGTCATAACTCGGATAATTTTAATTTTTGGGCTTGTTAATACTTAAATAAACAAATAATCTCTTCCGACATGTAATTATTAAAAAATATTCTGACAATATGAGTGAAAATTAAGAGAAAAGATCGTAAAAATACTAACACTTATAAAGTACGAAAGAATTCCAACTTATTAAAATCTTAGAAAAATTAAGGGGTCGGTGCAAATTTTAACATGTTAATGAATAACGTCATTCAGTTTAACGCCTCAATGAATTTATCTATTAAATTTTGAATATCAACTTCATTAATATTGGGACTTCACTTTAAATCACCTTCCTCAATTGAAATTTAAGAGAAACACAGCATACTTTAGTGCAATTAAATTATATTTTAATTAATTTATTTTTTTTGGTGAAGTTACACATGAAACATAAATCATACAATTAAAATAAATTCATTTATGAAATAATTATTTTTCTAAAATTTCCTCTCTTAAATAATATTTTATAATTAAAATGTTATTTGAAAATTTAATATTTTAAAAATTTGCTTTAAAATTTTCACTAAAAATAATATTATTGGAAATCCACATGATGTTTGAATAATTATGTGAATAATTCGAAAACTGAAATGAAATTAAGAAGAAAATTTCAAAATAATTCGAAAAATTAAATTAAAAAATTTTAAAATTAATGAAAATTTCTTATAAATAAGAATAAAATTTTGTGATTTCATATAATATTTTTAAAGAGGATTAAATGATAAACCATTGAATCCATTCCCAATTTGATATCGAGAATTAATTCAATTATAAATAAAAATTTTAAATTGATATTAAAGAATAATACTTGAATTTACGATATTAGTCGTCTCTTACGATATTAGTCCTCTCTTACGATATTTAACATAAATTATTAAGTGATTGGGGCGGCGAAATACTTAAACTAATCCTGAATTTTATTTTAAATTATTCAAGAGTGTGTTTAATTATGATGCAGTGTGAAATTGTGTAGCAATAACAGCACAACTCGTATATTCGTATGTGGTACCCATTAAATTTAATACGGCTCTAACACTACTTACATATAATATCTCGTTTATACTTACATTTTCATCATTGCTTTACGTTTTTCCAATTTTTCATTTTTTTCTTTTAAATAATATTTTCGTATTCCACTTAAATAATTTTTAAAATATTCTGACCAATTAATTGTATCCCAATGTAATTCAAATAGTTTACGATCTTTGGGTGTCATTCTATTATACATTTCAATAATATTTTTATTTGAATAATCCCAATTTTGTAAACTGAACCAACCCATTGTATGTAAGATTTTTTCACGTTTTTCATGAGATTTTTTAAATCTGTAAGATAATAAATTGGAAAGTTAAAATCTGTAAGAATTAGAATATTTTGAAATATTAAATTTTGCAGAAATAAAGCAGCCACTTTAATAACACTTGCAACACAAGGATTAGAAATTAATTTTTAGCATATTTCACTTAATTTACAGTTAATAATTTTCCTCAACTTCAATAAATTAAGCCTCATTTGCGATTATTAAAATATTTACCTACCATGGAGTGAGAAATTTTGAGTACTGCATTAAATATCGTTAAAGCACAACCTCGTGATTTAAAAATTTCTACAAAATCCTTTAAGAAAATTAAATAAAATTTATTTTTTCCAAAAATATTTGAATTATATTCCAAATAGAGGGTAACCAGCTAATGGCCAAAATTAAATTTCTTTATCACATTATTTTTTGTATGAAAATTAGTAAAAAATATTTTCAATTCTTGGTTTGGGGGTTCTGTTTTGGCTTCATGTCTAGACTAAAAGCATTGTTTTACTTTCATTTTTCTTGTTTTTGAATATTTTTTCTTGTTGCAGTCTTAAAAATATTTTAATAATTTAATATTTCCTTATATAATTACAATTAAATAAAAAATTTTGGAATAATTTTAAAAGTTTCCCAACACCACACATTCTTTAAAACAATAAAATTTATTTTGAAATTCAAAATAACATAAGAATAAAAAAAAAATAATTTGGAAATATTTTTTCAGAATTCATAAAATATTCTAAAATTTTTTTGTATTTTATTATATGGCCATAGTTTGAATACTGCAAGTCTAAGAAGAAGCCTATTCAGGAAGTCTTATTTTGAATTTGAAATTTAAGTGTGTGTGAAAGGGTATGAGAGAGGGCGACAATATTCCATATGATCAACAGATGTCATTTGCAATTTCTCTGCCGCTCCTTCTCACTCAGTTCTCTACGATTTCCTGTTTTATAAAACGGGTGATATAAAATTTTTTATTATATTGGTGACTAACTAGAATTTTCTAATTTCTTGTTTATTGCACCAAAACATCCACTTCTACCATTTTTATATCCTGCAACAATAAAATATAGAATTAAAGGGAATTTTTTTCTCATATTCCACAGAATAGTTTCCATTTTATTATTATTTTAAATATTTTGTTTCGTAAAATAACAATGGAGTCCTTTTCTTTTACAAAACTATGAAAATTTCATAGATTTAATAAGGTAGATGTGTGTGTGTATCTTATGTTTATCAACATTTTTATTTTTTATTTCTTATTTTTAAAACACAATCAATTTAAATGCAACCAGGCAACCGCATATTTCTTTTCAGAAATTAAATTTTATTTTATTATTAAAAAACTTAAAATATTGGGTTTCTTTTATGAGATGAGGATAACGTATATAAAGATGTACAGAGTATATTTTAATCTTTAAAATATATTGTGGACTTTGTTTCTATACAAATTGTATAACACTATGCTGTTGAATATTTGAAATGCAAGAATGTATGCAACCCTACTATCTCTAGTTTTCTCTCCGAATGTAATATAGGTTGTATAATATAGAGAATTAGATGCGGTAGAGTACTAGATGCGGTAGAGATTCTGAACGGGTACTTCTACGGTAAAGATTCTGAACATGAATGACTTTGGTTGTGCTCATTTAGCAGAGTTGGAAAGAATTGTAAAGTTGGCGGCATTTAAAAATTTTCATATATAATTGTATGAGGAAAATATTTTAAATAATCCAGAAAGTTTATTGAAAATCATTTTGTTGTGGCACTAGTTAACGAGAGAATTTTAAGTGCTAAAAATATTGTGAGGCCAAAAATTTTAATAGAACTATATACAAAGTTAATCTGCTGTTTTAAAACTATATATTTCATGGGTCGCTTTCCGTACATTTCATTTAACATTCTCTTGTTCTTATTAATTTTTCCGTTCTCTCCCATTCGAATTTATAACAACCAGAATCTAAGGCAAGGAATGAAGACGGAAAGCAAAACGTTTAAGGGTTTTATAGAGTGGCTTCATCTAAATCTTTCATTCTACTTCATCTTGTAAGGTAATTGCTTTTATTAACAAATATTTTATAAGCATTGAAAAACATTATAATATACTTACATCCTCTGTTTTCCTCGAGCAAGAGCAATTAAATCAAAAATATATCCTGGTATCATGTGTAGGAAAAAATCACCGATTTTGTATAACCATTTCCAACGAAATAATATGAAAGAAAAGCACCTAAAATTAAATTATTGTTTCTGAACATTATTTAACAAATTTTTTACTGAAATAATAAGGCTAATTACAAATTTCAATATTGAACTGGATTCTATATTGTATGGCAAATCACTAAATTCATTCTGAAAATATGAATTTCTAAATTAAAATACCTACATTGTAATAAACAACAAATTGGAATGAGATTGAATAGTGACTTCCCGCTGTAATAAAAAGTGAGAATCTCGGATAATTAGGCCAAGCAGTTAAAGAACTTACACTCTATATAGTTTCCTATGTATATATACAAAAATCTATATAATTTAAGTCGGAATTTTCATAACAAAATCCATATATTTACCCACATCCTTATACCCTCGAATTACTCTCGAATCTTTTCGCCCTAATCAATGAATTTTTACAACATGAATTACCGGATTTTGAACAACTTGCGTATTTCTAAATTTTTCTAAATAAATATTTCTATATAAATATGTGTGTAGAATGCATAATAATGAATACTTATATAATATAAATATCCTTTTTTTGAGTATATTGTTTGCGGTTAACCAAAATGAGATATGCAAAAAAAAAAAAATGTTCATAATATTCATCCGCATCCGTATTTCCTAACCAAAAATATTAACACAAAAGTTGCATTCATACATGTCCACATACATACATATATATACATAGAAAATATTATGATACAGGAAATATTAAAAGTTTGGTCAAAATGTTAAAACAATACAAGAACATTAAAAATAAAGTTGAAAAGTAACAAAAAAAAATTAGAGGAAAAATAGTTGAAATTTTGGAAAACCAAATGAGACAACAAAATTCTGTTGTGAATAACAAATTTATGTACAAGAATATTGCGAACTAAATGTATATATGAGCAATATATTCAAATCGAGTGAGTAAATTTTTATACCTGTGGGAGTAAAAATGTGCATATACCATTATTGAATTCACAAAACTCCACTTAAACTCATGTATAACTTGTTCTGTATATTGAAATTCATGAAAATTATATTTGAATTAGTGAAGACACTATTCTTTAATCACATTTACTAATTCAAAATTGTAGTACCATGTTTTATTATTACCCACATAATTTACCATCCAATTAACAAAGTACTAGATAAACACACTTAATATTTAATTTTAAAAATCTTTGTATAGAAACTACCAATAAGAAAAATTAGGACATCAGATGAATCTTTAATTATTGATTATATATAGAAACCACACATAACAATTCTTTAATCTATAGCCACGATTATTTTTTACCCACAAGTTGATAGTTCATCATTTCACACTTCAAATGCACATACACCATTTACATCATTTAATATGAAAAAATAAAATCTTCAAATACCACAAAATTTTTCAATTTTAACCTGTGAAGCGGTCTCGTAAATTCCATTTTTTCGCCCTATCCAATTTATTGAATCAGAAAATTGTTACAAAAAAAAAAAAATCTTCATCAATCTATCAATATATTGTAAAAATCAAGTTTTCCTTCAATGATTCATCAAAATATTCTCTAACACTCTCCTATCCTATAGAAGTTAATATTGTTAACCGCTAATATTTTATTTTCAATCAAATATTCATAGCGTGGTATTATATAGGGTATGCAGCTATATAGATCGAATAAAAGGCCTTTCATATAGCGGTTAATATTATATTACTATAAATTGTTAAAAAAATTTTCTAAATGCGGTATGTTGGTAGTCTGAATATGCTTATGTTAAATGGGAGTATATAAAAAAAATGCTTAAAATTTCACTTATTCCAATGGTAGCTGGTAGTGTCGGGTATTGTAGTACCTTATATGAGGTATAGTAATCCTGAAAGTAATGAAAAACATAAAGGATTTCATACATTATCCTATATATGAGACTGTATAGTATAGATGTTATCCATGTTCAAGTCCATTGTATAGGTACACTTGTAATTGTATATACATTAATGTGGTTTAAATTGTATCATATGCAGACATCCCAAAATTCTCTACAATTTGATATTCAGTATCACAATTGTAAGAATGATTATTCTTGGTTTTTTAGAAGAAAAAAAAATAGAATCCAAAAATATTTTAATGGTATCTAAAACCTACCTAACCATGAAAGTATAGAAAGAGGTACAAGAAATGCCAGAACACTATATATGGAGAGGATTGGATGTGGAAAAAAAATGGACAAAATGGAGTGCTTTAAATTATTTTGGAATAGTGTTACTATAATTTTTAATGTATAAAATGTATGAAATCGAAGTTGAATTTATGTGGACAAATTGTAAAGTGAGATTTATATTTTATGTGATTTTATAATATATATGTGAAGAATTTTGTTTATTTTTCTTTTAAAGTATCTCGGATTCATGAATGATTTTATGTGCTCTTGTTTTGAATATTGTTGCTTTAACATTCCGAAATGAAAAAAATTAAACGAAAGTTGTTTTAAAATTAGAATTTCAAGGTAACAACCATTAACGTGGACGTATAGCACAGGGAAAATGAAAATGCCGGGAGAGGTGAGTTAAATTTGAAAAATTCTATTTTTAATTCTTATTCTTCATAGAATAGATTTTTAAAAATGTATATATACAAGATTTTTGGGGCTATTCAAAATCTTCGTCTCGGAATTCTCAATATTTCTTGCGCTAAAATTTTTGACCTATGGATATGAACAAAAACTACTTTGTGAGGCTATTTTGAACCGGGGAAACGGGACTAATAGAACTATAGGAAGATCCTCTTGCTATACTTTATTGACTGGCCTTTATTCCAAATCCCTAATTTAATTGGAACTATATAATTTTTTATGTCGACTTGATTTGACCAGGGACAATTTCAAAAGTAATAGTTAAAAAAATTTATTCGGTACTCGATTGTAGCAAAAAACAATCAAGGAATAAATTTAAATGGAGGAAATATTTGGAAAATAGAAAAAACAACAAGTAAAAACGTTTCAGTCGGTATAAACCGATTGAATTATACCCTGCACCTTTCGTTGTTGTATAGCAATTACTCAAACCTGTGAAACCATTCTATAGAAACTTTACGGATATGTTTGACCTATAACAGACACACAACTGCCAAGTTTCATAAATCTGACTTTATTATTTTTCCAAATATTTAAAATTAGCTTTTGGAGTTCTATGGCAGGTACCCGAACCTGTCAAGCAATTCCACTAAAACTTCAGAAATATATCTGACCTATAATTGGACACATGACTGCCAAGTTTCATGAATCTGACTTAATTATTTTGCCGAATATAAAAAATTTGCGTTTGGAGTTGTATGGCAGCCACCCGAACCGGTGCAGCTATCCCATTAAAATTTTTAGAGCATATGTAGAATATAATTGGACACATGTATACAAAATTTTATATTTGTACCTTTATTAGTTTTTGAAATATTTAAAATAAACTCTTTGAGTTGTATGGCAGCTACCCGAACCTGTCAAGCAATTTCACTAAAACTTCGCAAATATATCTGATCTATAATTGGACACACAACTGCTAAGTTTCATCAATCTAACTTTTTTATTTTTCCAAATATTTAAAATAAGCTTTTGGACTTGTATGGGAGCTACTCGAACCTACCAAGCAATTCCACCAAAACTTCAGAAATATCTTTGACCTATAATTGGACACACGACTGCCAAGTTTCATGAATCTGACTTGATTATTCTTCCAAATATTTAAAATTAGCTTCTGGAGTTGTATGGCAGGTACCCGAACCTGTAGAGTAATTCCACTAAAACTTCAGAAATATATTTGACCTATAATTGGACATATCACTGCCAAGTTTCATGAATCTGACTTTATTATTTTGCCGAATATAAAAAATTTGCTTTTGGAGTTGTATGGCAGCCACCCGAACCGGTGCAGCTATACTATTGAAATTTTTAGAGCATATGTAGAATATAATTGGACACATGTATACAAAATTTTATATTTGTACCTTTATTAGTTTTTGAAATATTTAAAATAAACTCTTTGAGTTGTATGGCAGCTACCCGAACCCGTTGTCCGAATTAGTCCAATAACAATAGGGTTCGTCCTTGGCACAAAAGAAACAACTTGTGAAAGTTTGGTGTCGATTGCATTATTCGTTTTTGAGTTATCGTGCGATCGGACGGACGGACGGACGGACGGACGGACGGACGGACGGACGGACGGACGGACGGACGGACGGACATGTCTAAATCGACGCAGAATTTTACGCTGAGCAAGAATATATATATATGTCCATACCGCAGATGACTCCTTCAAGTAGTTACAAACTCCATACCAAAGTTAATATACCCTTCACGAAGTGCAGGGTATAAAAAACGTAACAATAAAATATAAATTAGAATTGAAAAGTCATTCATCTTGTCTACGGGACTAATACTAAATTGTATAATGGCTAAGACTGAAAGTTTAATTTACTTGGCATTCAAAAGTGGAAGAAATGAAAGAAAAAGAAATGAAAATCTAAATTTAAAAATTTTGTTATTTTCTATTTTTTTCACATAAATTTCCAAAATTTCTACATAAATATTTTAATTAAGAAATTTATATTCTGTGATTTATTAGAATTATTTTGTAAACAATAGAAAAAACGGAAACATGAAAGTAATAAAGTATTAAGAACTTGTCTAGGGCATCAATAAAAATATTAAATATAATAAACTGTTATATTTTCCCATCGGTGATGCTGAAATTCCTTACAAGTCACTAAAACAAATGATGATCGTAAAAATTTTCTGTTCAATCTCAGTCTCTCGCATCAATGTTAAGTTTAAGCTCTCAAATAACTGAGGTGGTTACTGAAAATTTCACCTATACGGGATTATATATCGTATACATAAAATAAATTACTGTTAATCACGTATTTATAATTAAATTTTCCAAAACATTTTATATACGCAACTTTGAGGAATAGCGCAGCCATTGACGACCACAAAATGAATTGTCAATATTGTTTACTTTTAAAATCTCCAAGCATTCCAAATCACAATATATTTGAACGCGTCATTAAGGAATCCCTAAAAATATACGGGATTAATTGACAACTTTCTCCCCAATAAAGAATAGTAAAATCGGTGTTCTGTGTACTCTTCTAATTTTAATTCGATATTATAAAAACTTTTACAAAATTTTGTCATAATTGTAAGGTTTAGATTGTAGTATTGTCCATTAAGATTGGAGTGAGGCACATACCATTGGTAATAGTGAAAAAAAAATCCATATTTATATAACAAAATTTTAGAGTAAAATCGGTTTTTTTTTCTATTGTCTAGTTTCTTATTTCCTGGAAAATGCAAGATTTATTAATCCCTAATGAAATGAGATTGTACCAAAGAATTTTTCACTTCTCTTTATATTTTTTTTGTAACATTTTGAACATAATTTTTTTCTTTTCTTCTCTCTTCTTTTTTGTAAATCTTTTTGTATTTCTGTTGCTATTTTAAGATGATATTAATGGCTTTTTAACTTTAAAATATAAATATAATTTCCATTGCAATTATTCGAATGCATTTTCTAACCATATGAAAAATATACACTATAAACCAAGTAAAAATCCAAATACAAATTCACATGTGTGTGTGGATGTAAACAATTTATATGTAACTAATGTAAGAAATGAGAGAAAATAAAATAAAAATTTTGAATTTAACAAACCAAACTAGTAGAAAATCCCAACAAACAGAAAAAAAAATAGAGAGAAAAATCAAAGAGAAATACAAGAAAATCTCTAAGGATTCTAATATCTTTGTGTAATTTGGTATGATGCAAGTTAAAAAAAAATACATGAATAAAACAAATGAGTTAGTAGAGAGGACGACCAACTCGTAAAACTTTAACGATCCGCCATGTTAATTTTCATATGAAAAGAAAATTTTTTTTATAGATATATTAGAGCAACTTGCAATCAGATTCAAATTTAGAAAGAAATATAGAAAAAAAAGTAAAGGTAAAGTTTAAACTTTTTTTAACTTTATATTTTATAATATCATTTTGTATTTACTGTACATTATACGACTTCTATTTACATTTTAACTTTTACGAAACAGATTTACTTCCATTTTTCTTTATTCATATTACTTTTAAATATGCAACACAATACAACAATATTGAAGTAAAATACAAAATTGTTTTAAGAACCAATTTCTATATTTTTCTGACATACTGAATCGCTCAAAATTCAATAGACTTAAATAGAAATATTATACTAGTATTGCTTTACAATTCATTGTGCCTTCCAAACAGTAAATCAAATTGTATTTAGAACGAAATTATACGAATAAATGAGTTTCCCCATGTTCGGGCGGCAGATTTAAATTAAACTGTAGTTTTTGCAGAATGCCATTATAAATATCAATGCCTGTCTATAAACTTCACTAGAAATATTATACTACAATTTCTTTATAATTCATTGTGCCTTCCGGACAGTAAATCAAATTGTATTTAAAACGAAAATAATCGGATAATTGCATTTACCCATGCTCGGGCGGCAGATTTGAATTAAACTTTAAAATTTTACAAAATATCAATTAGAATATTTACCTATACTTTAGATTTCATGAAAAATATTGTACTGCAAAACATTTTGTCTTTCGGATACCAAATCAAATTGTATTCAAAACGAAATTATTCGGGTAAATGCTTTTGACCCATGCTCGGGCGGCAGATTTAATTTAAACTTTAAAATTTAACAAAATATTAATTAGAATATTTATCTAATACTTTAGATTTCATAAAAAATATTGTACTACAATTGTTTTACGCAACATTGTGCCTTTCGAATACGAAATCAAATTGTATTTGAAGCGAAAATAATCGGATAATTGCTTTTACCAATGCTCGAGTGGCAGATTACAATTATACTTTAGATTTTCTCGAATATTAATGAAAATATTAATGCGCGAATAAAAGTAAATAGTTAACGACAAGTCGGCCCTCAGTGAAAACTTTGCAATCTACCTCACTTTGAGTTCGTTTTGGCAACAATTCTATTAAAAAGACTTGTAAAAGGTACTGTAATTTTTTGATCCAATCATGAATTTGGGTTCCAGAAATCCAATTAAAACCTAGTATTTTTGAAATTGATTACTATAATCAGTCATTTACGAAAATATAGAATTAAATTTTTATTTCAATTTTCTTTTCTCTAATAATTATACCCCATTTTCTTGGAGAAATTTTTATTTCTTCTATATTTTAAAATTCTTTAATATTGTAAATATCCCAAATTGATATTCAGGATGATTAATATTTTCTCATTTTTTTTTTTAAAAGAAAAAATATTCATTTGTTTTTTTGTTTTGTAAAAATTTTTTCTTCTTTATTTTTAATTCCTTACCACATTTGTTTACCAAATGGTTCATGAAATCCCTTACGTGCCAAACTTATATACTGATTCCATGTTATATTATTTGATTTGAATACATAGTTGTAGACAGGTATCTCACTTGACTCACATTTTCTCATTTGATATCTACAATAATAAAAAGAAACATGCATGTAAATAATATTATAATATGAGCATAAATATAAATAAAAATACAAATATAAAAATATTATTTTGCAAAATATAAGATTTTTTTAATAAAATATAACAATATACACATTCATACATTCATTCTCTGTATATATGAAATGTATTATGAAAATAGAACTATATAGAATCCTCTATAGCTACAATATAAATGGTAACAATTTTTTTTTTTTTTGGTAAGAATAACGTGATTGCAACAAATGAAAATTATAATGAAAGTAATATTAAATGGTTTAATAAATTGCATAATTTATTATCCTTTATAAATGTATGTTTTGTTTTTTTTTTTTTTTTTAATTATATTATTATTATTACATGTATTCATACAAATGTGAATAAAAATGTTAGTCGTATACATAATGTGCATGTAGGTGTTTTGTATTATTACTATATTCATTATCCTTTACAAGGTATTCAATTTTTATTCATGATTACACCTTATGCTCACAAGAGATTCTCACGAAGTAATTGAGAAAAATTATGTAAACATAAGTTTGGAAGTTTAGTTAATAAAAATTTTAAATTAATATAAAATTAGTTACCTAGTAATAATACAAAACCAATTATCTAGCATTCACACAAAACTAGTTATCTAGCATTCACACAAACCAATTATTCCGAAAATACGAATATTAGTAATTTGTTATTACAAAACTGGTATGATAATGACTTCCGTTTTGCATAATTTTAATATCTTTGACATAATTATACTTCAAATATATTATTAAAATATGAAAAAAAAACTGGCGCCCGAGCTTGAGGAAAAGAAAATCATTATTTTTTACTTGCAACAGAATAGGCAATGAAATTAAAAATAAACTGCCGCCCGAGCATGGGAGAAAGAAAAATATTATTTTGTACTTCCAAACAGTAGGAAACTCTGTTTTAAAATTTAAGGATTTCATGTGATATACCTCAAGTTTTTATGTTAATAACGTAACTATGACTAGCATTATATTAGCATTTCTGATATTGCATATCGGCAGGAGTAATTTATAAATTATAATAACATCATTTTTTTAACACATATCACATATATTCTTTGATTATTGCAGTACAAATAAACACGTTGAAGATAAAACAATCGAACAATATGAAAAAATGAAAAATGCCGCCCGAGCATGGGTAAAACCATTATATAATTTTTACTCCTTAACCATAGTCTTTCATTTTTAGTTCCTACCCATTTAGTCAACGTTTTAATAAATTTCATAATTAAATGAAATACTTTTCACCTTTTGAAATCATCAACCCTTTGTAGCCCTTTGTAGTATAATCAAATAAAATTGAATTATTTCAAACAGATCACCTTGTTAGCATTTTTCAAAAGGTGACTTGACTTTAATTGAAAACTATATATCTTAATTAATAAACATTTATATATGGAAAATTTTAACTTTAAGTAATCAAATGAAGAAGAATATGCAAAAAAACAGCAAAAAAAAAAGTTAATGAAACGATTCACCATCTCTGGACTTGTAATAAAAATGGAAAGATTATTGAAAACTCTATTCATTTATTGCAATGTTGCTTTTCTCGAAAAATGTTAAAGAAAATAAAGAAAAATGATAGCGGAGTATTTTAATAATAGCGTTGGATTAAACTTTTTTTCTTTTTTTCATGTCGTATAACAGTATAACAATTATATTCCTGTTGAGATTCAACATTGGTAATTAATTACTTTTAAAGTACAATTCCATTGAAAGTAAACATTTTATAATAATAATAATATAGAATGTTGAAAAATTTTATAATATAACAGATATTTTTTTGTTATATGGTAAAATATAAAATTACAAATTAATATTTATGAGTTTTTAATAAAATTGAATTGAAAATATAAATAATAATACAATATAAATCTGTATACCTTGTTGATATATCCCATGCACTTGTTATTAATGCATTTATAACATAATCTACTGGTACCATATTAGTACGATTATTTGGATCACCAATTGCACATCTTATAATACCACATGCAATCCATAAGCATATACCAGATGGTCCATAAATATTATCAGTCCAACCAGGTATTGGATCCTTATATATTGACATTACTATGAAAAACAAAAAGAATTGATTTTATATATAATATTATTTTAGAGGAACGGCATCATATTATTAATAAAGAGAGCTGTTATTATAGCGAAGAGTTGCAGGTATATGCTGGCATTTACATATTTATTGTTTTCAGGTTACATCGAAGTTGGTCTGGAGGTGCCTAACTGCGTACTTATGGAATTGGCATTAGCAAACAGAGTTACGCCCATTTGTGTGCCTAGCCACAGTGAACCCGCGAGCTTCCTATGCGCTTCCTTCCTCTTCCACGGAGACTAGAATTGCCAATTCGTTCGGAGCGGAATGTGATCTGCACTGGCGCACGACACAAAGGAGTGCCGTCATTCAAAAATGTTTATTCAATCACGCTCAGGAGAATTGAATACAGTGTTCTTGTAGAGGGATAGAAACCGAGATTTTTGCAATTGCAAATTTCTTTACTTGGCAATGTTAATCGAATTCTCCGTTGTTCCCTTTAAATATCTTAAAGGGAATTTAACTGCTGTTAAATTCCCTTTAAGATATTTTCGGCTTTGTCCTTGAAACAGGGATACTTAAGATGGGAGAGTGGGAGGATACAATAAGTCAGTAAAATATTAACTGTGGTAGCCCAAGAGAAAATTCGCTTATCTTGAAATCTAAGAACTATAATTTACAAATTTTTTACGCATACTGCTAAACTTTTCTTTAAATCACAATTGAAGACACTCACCTACTGGTGGTCTAAAAATTCCAACAGGAATTTTACCAAATATTGTATGCTTTACTAAACATTCAGCCAAATTTTTCGTTAACGTATAACTATTCGGTAATGTACCAATAATACAATGTTTAATTTTCTCCAATTCATCACGATTTAAAGTTTCATTAAGCTGAAAATAAAATTATTAAAATTTATTAATATAAAATCTATTCAAAAAATCTTTCGATATTATTAATTTTAAGTAGGTATACCTTAATGAGAGCTTTATAATCAAAATTTGGTTTGTAAATCTTTTCACCAATAAATTTCCGATTACAATTACAATATAAAGTTGAAATATGAACAAATGACTGCAAATAATTTTTTATGTAAAAGTAAATTAATATTTTCCAAACACACAAGTGTAAGATTTTTAGTTAAAACTCGAATTATGTGTTCCAAGGTGATAAATATCGTAATAATAAAATTGTACTTACCTTCAAATGTGTCATTGCCTCAACTAAATTTATTATTTTTTTGGTACCCAATAGATTAATACCAATAGCATCAGATAATTTCTCATTAAATCTAACAGATGCAACCAAATTAAAAACAATCTAAAATATTATTGAAAAATAAAAATATTTTATTGAAAATTTTTTACTATGTGCTATTCCTGAAATTTTCATTTCTTTTTGAAATCTCAAGTGATACATGACAATGAACCAAATATATTTTACAATCGATTTTCATATTAATAATGATGATATGTGTACTAATACTAAGTACTCATACTTGTATTGCTTTAAATGACATTCAAAATCCCAACATAATATAGATCGTGTAAACACCACCACGATTAGTTTTAGAAAGAAATTAAAAATATTTCTTCATACAATCAAAGTATATATTGTTATGGTGCCTAAAGGAAAGGAGAACTGGAGAATAATTCTATGCATTAGAGTCGAATCGAACCAGTTAGATGAAATTCAAATTAGAGATTCCGTTCAAACAGGGGGACCATAAATTGTGTGAAGTATCGGAGTATTGTTAAGTTAGGGATGGTGTTAGAAATCATTACATTATTCTTTTTATTCTCAGAGCGATTCAGAGCGATTCTTTTCGTGATCAGTAGGAACTCACAGATTCTGCCAATATATGATATTTAGCTGTAGCAAGAATATTTTCGGTGATATTTAAAACAAACCCATTTCTGGCGAAACCAGAAAACATGGAGCGATTCTAAGCATCTTTCCCGATCACTAGGAAAATTCATAGACTCACAGATTCCACTAATATATTATATGGTTTTTTAGTAGACAATAATTTGTCCCCACAAACATGCATTCACATTGAGTTAACATATTAGAAATATCCTTGGAAGACATTCTTATCCCACATAGTAATATAAATTTGAACTTTTTCATTGTGAGACTTTAGTGAGATTTTTTTCTGCTATTATTTTAATAATAATATGTTGAATATTTTTTCATTTTTAAAAATCATACATACCTCTACATTTTCAATTAATAATTTTCGATCTGAATTTGAAAACATTTCATCTGAATTATAATCGATTCTTATTGGATGTACTAATTCAAGTAGTTCTTCTTGATTCTTACGTATATCATCGAAAATCTGTAATAATTTTGAAAAAAAAAAAAATTTAAAAATATGCTAATTTGTTAGTTTTAAAGGTATTAGCAGGGTGCTTCGATATTTTGATGTTAAAATATTGTTGGTACATAAATTATTTTTGAGAAAATTGTCGATAAAGCAAAAATAATTTTCTTAAAAGAATTTTGCTGTTTATATTCGCAGTATTATTGAAAACGTGCCGAGAATCAAAAATTTTAAAATATAAGGGGAGTGCAAGAGCATTTGGCTAGCCACGAATGCATTCTAAATCATGATACCTTAACAATTCTAGCTGCATATTAATAATCAACTTCTTAAAACAGGGGCGGCACTTTAAAACTAATTTTGCCCTATGTAAGGCGCCAAAATATGAAAAACCAAAAAACAATTTATTATCTCCAAAAATATTTAATTTTTAAAGAATTACAGGCATAAATATTAAAAAATAACATGCATAATATGAAAAAACAGTGCCGTAGAAATGGAAATCCATTTAAAATTTATTGAACCAAAATGCAGAAATAATTGAAAAGTATCACTCATATACGGCCTCATATAACCTGTGTATAAAGTGCGAATTATAACAAGAAACTGGTATTAAGAAGAAAAGTGGTATACTTACAGGTTCATTGAATAATTTTTCCAAACGTTCTTTAATATTTAAATTATCCTTTGTTCTTATTAAAATAAATATCCTTTTTAATGTAAATGTTTTTAAAAGTTTATATATTAAAATTTTTCCAAGGAAACCATTACCACCAGTTATAAGAATTGTTGAATTATAAAAGAATTTTGTTATTGGTGAATCAATATGTTGTTGTTGGTGTTGTTGTTGTTGTTGATCTTCTTCTTCTTCTTGTTGCTGTTGTAATGTTTGTATCATTTTTCTTTCTGTTCCCATTGTTTCTTTAACATTTGATTCATGTGTTTTTATTATTGTATTTTTTATTGTAGATATTGGTGAAATTGTATTTGTAAATGAATTATTATTATCAGTTGAAGTAACATTTACATTATTAATTTCAATATTGTTATTTTGATTTTCATTATTTAAATTATTATTCAATAATTCTGGAGGATTTAATATTGTAAAAGCATGTTCAATAGCATTTGGCATTTTTCCAAATAAAATTTTTTGATTGCTTTGTTTTTATTTTTATTTTATTCTATTACTTTGATTCCTTTTATATTTATACTAATTTTTTTGTATTTAAATTAATTCATATGTGTGTTTGTATGTATGTATATAATATATATTTTCTAATATTATCAATTCTGTTTTAAAATTATTTTCGGATAAAAGTCAGATTTTCTTCTTACCAATGCATATTTTTGTTGTTCTTTGTTATATATATATATATATATATATATATATATATATATATATTTTAATATCAATGACAATTGTGTATATAAAATGTAAATGACATATTAAAATAGGAATAGATGTATGTATGTGATATAACACTATATTCAGTATTGTAATTTTTTTGCACCTGTTCGATTCCCAAAGGTGTAAAACTACATTAACACAAAAATTTAAGAAGTAAAAAAAAAAAATATCTGTATATATTTTTATGTATTATTGGATTAGCATATAAAATTTCAAATGTGTACATATATATATATATATATATAAACATGTAGATATATATGTAGATATAGTAATGTAGTACATATTATTCATAAGTTGTCTCACACTATTTAGCATATTTTGTTGAAAATTTTTGTTGTGTTTAACTAGATGTGATTTGGATTCTGAATGGAATTCTTAAAATAATTACAATTCACTTTAAAATGATTCGCTTGCATGGAAGCATTAGAACTGTAGGAAAATAGGAATGTAAAACACAATAATAGATTTTGTTTAGAAATTAATTTTAAGAAGCCATGGTGCTTCTTATGAACAGCAATTTAAATTACCATACAATGCAAATCAATTTTATCATACAACCTAAACAAAATTATTTATTTTGCAATTATCTTTGAGTTTTTCCTAAATTTTTACAAATGATTCTTGTTTATTTTCTTATTGAAATGGCAGCAAATCGCTACCCCCGCTAATCTATTATGCCTCCTTTTCTTACTATAACATAATTGTCCCTTATTTCCTTACACAATCTGTACAATCATATTCTTTTTCCCTATATCTAATTCGCAATAACAAGAGATTAGGAACTCCTTTTTATATAAATTTAAAGCATTATAATGAAAATTTCAAAAAAAAAACAGAGAAAAATTTTACTAGTAAGCTATTGTTAGAAATCACGTTATTGAAAAGTGTACAAAAAAAAAAATTTATGAAGTGGAACTATTGCACTTGCAAAAATTAAATTACCCTTTTTTTTTTTTTTTTTTTTTTTGATTTTCCTATCACTGATTATTTAAAGGAAAAAACAATAAGAAAAACTTAGAACTTCTCATTTAAATTCGTGTCGAATTCGAAATTTTGAATTTTTGTTGTTGTTTTTTATTTAAATATAATTTTTTAAAGTGGTTTATGAAAAATATTTAAATTTTATAAGATATTGTAAAAAATTTCCCGAATTTCAGGAAAATATTCGGCTCTATGTTTAATTGAACTCTTTCCCCGCACAGTTCATTCATTTTTAGGAAATTCAGTGTCAAATTACGATTTTAAAAGTGATGTTATCTTTCTACACATTTATATAAACTTGTTAATTTGGATTATGGCCATTACAAATACTGCCTGAGCGCTAGCCGCTCATATAACTACTCCGAATGTAATCAGTTTTCAATAGAGTAGACTGTAAAGCAATGTTTCGGTATGGAAACCAATATTATAAATGTTCTGTACATTTGAGAGACATTTATTAAGAAAGTAAATGTTACATTTTAATTTAAAGAGTCTGATTCCGATTGCAAGTTCGGCTCTAAATTTAAATCTGATTCTAAATCTGACTCTAATTCGGACTCTGTCTTTAATTTCGATTCTGATTCTGACTCAGACTCTAATTCTGATTCTGATTCCGACTCCAATTCAGATTCCGATTTTGATTCAGACTGTGACGATGATTCTACTTCCGATTGTGATTGTAAATTTGATTCTAATTCCGAATCTGATTCAGATAACGAATTCGAATTCGACTCCGACTCCGATTCCGAATCCAATTCCGACCCCAATTCTGATTCTGAATTTGATTCCGACTCCTCATTCGTCCCTGACTTCGACTCCGACTCCGAATTCAATTCCGAATTTAACTCCGAATTCAATTCCGAATCGGATTCCAACTGTTTTTTCAAAATTTTTAATTTTAAGCTTGATTCCGGAACAGATTTCAATTCCGATTTTTCAGAATTCGCAATCCTATAGGTATAAAACACTAATAAATATACAATTTGATTTTAGTTTGACGATTATGTAAAATCAAAATTATTTTTACATCATTATCTTTTATATCCTTTATATTATTATTTGATGGCTATTACAATACAATAAATATTTTGAATTCTTTAAATATTATACCTGTATAAATTCAATTACATAATTTTATTTACTGAATTTTATATATGTATGTATGTATATATGTATAATTAATTTGATTATAATAATTAATGATAAATTGCACTTTTATTCTATTATATTTAATTAATTAAAAAATTTTATAATGGTAATTAAATACCAATTTACTAATTAAATATTTGAATTTTTTAGAAACCAAAAAAGTCAAAAATAAAGCAGAAAAACAAAATCTAAGTAAATTATTTAAAAAAAAAATGCTAATCACTATTTAAAAATCAATAATAAATTTGTTTTTTTGTTTTAATTTAATTTTGATAAAATTGAATAAAAAAATTTAATGCACTTTATAATCTACATATACAAATGAGATTATTTTTAAATTTTAAAAAATAATTATGAATTTAATTTTCCAAATTTTTCAAATTTTTTTGTAGTAATTCTCAAATTTCCATCATTAGAGTTTAAACAGTAAATTCATACTAAATCGTGTTTGTTACGAAAAGAAAATATTTTAAAATTCTTCTTCTCTTTCTTTATTTTAAAGTCTATACAAATAATTAATTAACAATTAATAAATCAATAAATACGAAAGAATAATTCAAATATTTTGTAAAATTAATGTAAAAAATTTCAAAGTCAATTGAAATTGCCGCATTTCCAATCCATTAAATTTCAAAAAATATGTAAAGTTCTGTAATACTAATCTGTATGAAAGTACATTTCCATGATATTTCTAATTTCTTATGAATAAAATGATCCAATTCCCAGGATATCATCTTCATTTAGAGAAAGTGAATTAAATCGTCTCTACCTTTCCTACAAAATCAGCAATTTCTGGCTAATTTGTTTACGAAATTGACATATTTACAAATCTATACGAAATTTACTTTCCAGGCGGCTTAGTCTCCTACCTCTATAACCAACCCTTGTCAATACCTATAATGCCATTGGAAAAATTTATTTCTTTTGATGTCTAGCCTAGTTGTTACCATCACATTGTTCAAATTTCTTCTGCGGAATTAATTGCTTTTCATATAAACAGACAGACAATTAAATTTTGTAATTGCATTTTAAATAAAATAAAGGTAAATTTCCTTTCCAAATCAAAAATTTCCCCTTAAACTTTTACTTATGTATTGCATAATAGTATGTGCACTTTCACCCTTTTCATTTTAAATTTATTCAAAAAATTTCTCCCCCATTCTAAAAGAAACTGTTAAGCAGTTGACAAAAAATATTAACAGCTATGTTTTAAAAACGAAAGACGAAACCCCTTGTTTCACTTAAAGAAACAAATTAAATTTTCAACAAAATGCCTAACATATGGTTCAGTTAAATTTTAAAGATAATTAAGAGTACCTATAGTAAGAGCGGTACACATACACCTTTCGAAAAAAAAAAAAAATATTGAAATAATTTTTAATATATTGAAAAAAAAAAATTGATTTTTGAATATTAATTTATGCGATACGTCAAGTAAGTAATGTGTGTGTTATAAAATGTCCTTTATATTTTGGAATTGCGTGTATCTAAGAATATAATAACCACCTGCTAACAATGTGTTTAGTTTAGAGTATTATGCGTTTGTATTTTATGAGAAATAAGACATATGGTGAAGAAGTTAAAATTTTCTTTAATGAATTTTGTTAGAATTTCAAATGTATATTTGGTATTTTGCATTATTTCGCTAGTTTATAATGTTATTCGTGTAGATTAGTTGAATATTGAATAATTTCAGGATACAAAGAAAGCGACAATGAAAAAACAGAGATTTTTATTCAAAGTACGGTCTGAAATTTTGTCTCAAATTCCGATTTTATTTGATTCAATCGGAAAATATCAGATTTGAATGATTCTTATTCGAATATCACGCTTCTGGATTTACCGCCTGCGCGCTTCTTAACCCACGATACCCGGATTAAGCGCCGAATACTCGCTTTCACCCGCTCTCGTCAGCCTTACTAAGTAAGTTGCCCAGGAGACACCCGGCAGATAACTATGTTACCTACTTTCTGGGAGGTGAGAGTCAGATTTTTTGGCAGAGCTGATGTTTTCAGAGGGCATTTCCTAGCATTTTCAGTTTTACATGTTAGGAAAATGTGAGACTGACTAGGACCCATGCCCACTTTTGTCCCCCTAAGATAAATCTAGAATAAAACTTCATATTTTTAGATCCAAATACTTTTCAAATAAAATTTGAACTGTTATATTATAAAACTATATTTAATCAATATTATTAATGGTCTATTTCCAAGAAGGAACTAAGTTAGACCTTAAATTCAGAAAAATAATGCCAAAAACGAAATTTTTTTTCACAAAAATTAAGACAAATATGTTATGTTTTGCTTCTTCTTCTATCTAGTTATAAATTACAATAGCTTCTCTTTGAAAAAAATATCCTTGTAAAGAAACCAATTTGTACTACAATTAATTTTGTTGTCACTAATTATGCCACCTATTGTTGAAATATTGCAATGATATTGAAATGTGAATTATATTAAAAATATTACAAGAAACACATTATCCTTGAAAATTTTTCTAAAAAAAAGATTTCTAATTTCTCAAAATTGAAAATTTCCTGAGAACCAAAACTGCCATCTTAGATAATTTTATTTAGAAAAGCTTTTTAACAATTCAAAAGTTCTTGTTTTTCTTATTTACAATTTGGAGCTTTTCTTATCTTATATTTAGATTTTAGAAGCTTATGTAAGAAAATGGTTTAAGTATTTGATAAAATTTTCATATTTGATAAGGAGAAACTCTTATACAATAATTTTGCGAAAAAGTCCATTGTACAACTTGAAGAGAAAAAATTCTCTAAAATTTTCTGTACTCTTATTTAAAGCTAAAGAAATTCTCAGAGTTTATTCTAAAATTTAGTTTTCCTTAAAAGGTATAGAAGCTTCTTTTTTGAACTTATTCTGTATAGCAGTCTGTATAGAAATTTGTTTGCTAAACTTCATTTAGTGCTGTTGAGGCAATTTCGAATAAATTTTAAACGATTTCAAAATTAAAATTTAGAATGAAATGCTTGCAATCTAGTTTAGGTATAAAAACTTTAAAAGATAATTAATTTAAAGTCTTTATTTAAATTTCCAAGAGCAATTTTCAAGAGCAAAAATTTTCATATACACGCTAGCTGCTATCCTGTAAATTAAAATATATTTGTTGCAAATTCAATAACAGAAAAAATTAATATACTCTTTTGTATCCATAAATATTTTTTTTTGTACATATTTATTAATTTATATTGTAAAACTATAGGAAAAATGGGTGATCTAACGTAAGTTCCCTGTAATAGGAGCCATTTATATGAATAGTACCTTTTCTGCTTTTGTGTAGAATTAATATTAATATTTAGAATGGGCTGTAAGGGAAAGACTTCTTATTAGCTAGCAAAATGATTGCAAATTAATTTTGTATACTGTACATAATTTTAAAAATTTCAAAATTTATATGATAAGATGACTGACCTCCCATACAAACTGACCTTTCCAGAAGTTTTAACCAGAAGTACTTTTTTTTTTGTTTTTTTCACCACGGGGACGATGGCCCTTAGGCCCCATCATGTCGTCTCATAGGATCTCTTGTGGTTCCCATTCCCCTTACATTAGCTCTATGCATAGGCTCCCTGACGAACCGCAGTATGGCTATATCAAGCTGCGAGATCCCCCCCGGGGTCACAAAGCCTCCCCGAAGCATCTCAGTCGCAGGCGAGCAACCGCCTCGCACTCACACAGTATAAGTACCCTTTGGTTTCGTGCTCCTCTACGCATAAACAGCAGACCTCATCCGTCACCCTGCCCATCGTTTTCAGGTCTACCCTTGAGAGGCAGTGTCCAGTGAGAACTCCCACAAATCTCTTCTAATTTGGACGACCGAGCATGATGAGACCCTGTCTCTCCAGTCCCAGGGTAGGCACAAATTTTCTAGAGTGCGACATGCCCAAGCAGCTATCCCAGTGTTCAACTCTGGCCCGCTCCTCCCATTCACTGAGGGCACGCAAGACCTGTGTCTTGGGTACCTCAAAGCATGGCTTTGGCCCAATGAAGGGAGCCGCCGCTCCCTTCGTTGCAAGACCATCAGCTCTCCCGTTCCCGTCCACTCCGTAGTGTCCTTGCACCGTCATCAAGGTTAATTTGTTGTGCCTAGCCAGGACGCCAAGGGTGTCAATGCATTCTTTCAGCAATTTGGATCCCACTATATCAGACAAGAGGACACCAAGAACAGCTCTACTGTCCGACATAATAAATATCCTGCTCCTTCTAATGTTCCTCTCGATACATTCCAGAGCGCACAACTTTATAGCAGATGTCTCAGCCTGAAATATCGATGGGCAGCGCCCGACCCCTTGATTGGTTTTGAATCCATCCGTATAGAAGATCACGGCCCCATGGCCAAGTTATGGTCCCCCCTGTCCCAGATCCGCCTTTCAGCTAGGTCCACAACGTATGGTCTGACTATGTTCCTCTCCCTAAGACCAAAGTCCAAGGGCATCCCCATGTCATAAGAATTTAATATGGGTTTTTAACCAGAAGTATTTAATATGGGTTAATTCCAACCGAATGATTTCAAAATGGAATTTAAAGCAAAAATTGTTCATAATTACAATGAATTATACAATGTTGGCAGCTTATTTATAAATGCATATATATAGGGGCATTTATAGTGGTATATAGATACTAGATACAGTAAAAAGTTACACAATATTGATAAAATAAATATTTTATTTAAAAAAATAACATGAAAATTATAAACATAAACTTTTAATTAAATTTATAAATTAATTTTTTTGTTAAATGTAAAATAAACAAAAAAAAAAAATCGGCCAAGGCCAATAACCA